GTGGCAGAGCTGAATAGGGGTGACAGAGACCATATGGCACATGAGCCTAAAGTATTTACTATCTGGCCTTTCCAGGGGAAAAAAACAAAACAAAACTAGATAATCAGTTGGGCTTCTTCCAGTTATAATATTATTTGAATGTAATCAAATACTTGATTGAATGATTATAACCCTTTTTTCTAACATGTGCACTACTTATAAAAAAATAAATGCACATGTATAAGGACTTGAGCCTTTTCAGATAATTGAATATATTGGTTTGCTGAGAGTTACACATACTCAAATCATGAATCAGGAAATGGCAAATACTTAGCTTAAAAATGCATTGAACCTTAAATATAGATTTAATACATAAAAATACAGTGGGGGAGATGGAATAATGAACTCATTGCAAGGTACTAGAAAGTGAACCGATAAGAAAAAGTACTAATCATAAAAGAAATGATATATCAGAAGCTGATTTACTGAATCAATATCTGCTATGACCTTTTCTAATTATCATTAATTTAACCTTAAAATAATAAGTGTTTTGTTTGTACTATAAAAATATGATGACCACATCTTCAAAAAAAATACTTAAAGGTTAGAAGCATCGTTTAGAGGCCTCATCCTCTCAGAGACTCACAGTTTATTGCTATTAATGGAAATATATTTATATAACACCTTTCCTTTAAATCATTTGTTCTCTCAGATTTATATTTAAAATGTCATGGCTCACTTTATTTCAAACATTTTTAAAATACAGAGGGATAGGTTGTTTTAAATTTGTTTTATCTGTGTGGAAATTAAGGTACAGGCACCATCATTCATTTTATTTTGCTTTTTTCTTAATATTTTTTCACTTAGTGAAAGAGCTTGTTAAGTGTAATACACTGATGATGTTACTTACACTGTAGTCTACTCTCCAAACTAATATTGAGACTGTATTTACCTAGCCACATATATAAAGCATCAAGGAAATAGTACTGAGAATCAACAAATGGGGTCACATCAAATTAAAAATCTTCTGCACAGCAAAAGATACAACCAAGTGAAAAGACAAGCTACAGAATGGGATAAAAAATTTTTCAGCTATTGCTCAGAGGACAAACATCTAGAATATATAAAAATTCAAAAAATTAGAACCCCAAAATAAAGGATCTAATCAAAAAATAGGCAATGAACAGATACTTCACAGAGGAAGTACAAATAGCCAATAAATACATGAAAAAATGCATAACTTTCCTGGCCATTAAAGAAATACATATTACACAACATTGAGGTTCCACCTTACTCCAGAAAGAATGGCCATCAGCAAGAAATCAAATAATAACCAATGCTGGAAATGCTCCCGGAAAAAAGGAACCCTTCTATGTTGTTGATTGGAATGTAAACTAGAACAACCACCATGGAAATTAATATGGAGAGTCCTCAAAAAACCAAAACTAGAAATTTTCTTCTCTGTATCTTCCCAAAAGAGTTGGAGATGTCATCTTACAGTGATACATGCATGCACATGTTTAAAGCAGCACAATTCATTACAGCTAAGCCTTTCAAGAAGCCTTATGCCCATTAACAGATGAATGGATAAATAAAATGTCGTATTTACACACAATGGAGTACTTCTCTGCCATAAAGATAAATTTGAGTCATTTGTAGGAAAATTGATGCACTTAAGATGCTAAGATTAGAAAATTAATTTCTTTCATGACTTTCGAAAGCTTCTGAAACTTTCGGAACCTACTTTCCATCAAGAGGAAGAAGGATATGATGCCACTGTAGGTAAATCACAAAGGTATTTCAAAGTTGAGAACTTAATAGTTCTAAGCAAGTAGACTTCCAAGTTTTATCAGCTGCCAATTTCACATATCCTTGTTAGTAACCAAGCTCTTCACTGATGTCCAGTAAAGTTCTGCAGACTCTTCTAACGTTAGCTTAAATCATTCTTTCTCCTGAAACTATAGCATGCCCCTCTAATTCTAGGTAGTCTCTTGCTGATCTGAATAATGTTAGTAAGGACTGAGTTTGATTCTAGGGTCTAGGGTAGAAGATATTATCATTTTCATCACTATTTCTCAAATAAAAAATTCACCTTACCCAAGAACTGGTAGATTGAAGCTTCAAACACAAGAATCCTTATTCTCAGATCCCCACTATTAAACAATATGCTATTGTGTTTCCTAGTTTTCAATTCCCTGTTTATTCTGTTCATTTGATGTATTTGCTTTTGTAGTTTAAAAATTAGCTTTAATTTAAATAAGGCATCTTCTCTCCCCAATTATATATGATGCCACTTGAGGAAAATGACTATCTTATCTGTATATGGAAGGTATGTACATGTGCATAAACATCTTCTGGGTGATAGAATAAAAGAATATGTTATCAACAAGGTGATGGTGTAGTATCTTCAGAGCCTAATGCAATTGCCAAATGTCTTATTCAAGCACTTGTCATCCTTCCTAAGCCTAAATGTGGAAGTTTCTCCTCTCTTACACAGTTGCCTCATTTCATGGAAATCTCTCCTCCAGAATTTTTAACAAACTCTCTAATATCACAGACATGTATTTGAATAATTTAGCTTCCTCTTTAAAATTATTAGCATCTTAAATATAGACCTATAGTTATTTTTTTCCTTTATCTTCACAGGTCTTAAAATAATGTCTTAAATGTGGTCTGCAAAGAACACAAATATCTACTGAATAAATGAATAACTTTAGTTGGTTTTATTTATTGACTTTGTGCTTTCATGCACCGGTCCTTTCCTTAATCTGGAAAATTTTCCATAGAATATGATATTTAAAAAAAATAAAAATATTGTTTCTGTACTTGGATTTCTGCCTTTTATGCTTTAACTTGGGGCCATTAAGGGGTTTCTCTAATTTTACGGTTAACTTTCTGTAGCTTCATAATTATGAATTTCACTTGAAGCATTCCAACAATATTGAGCTGAGGTCACCCTAAAGTCAGGAACATTATCTTTTCATTCCTTTAGAATTTATATTATTTTTAGTTCAATGGCTGTGAGATAAAGATAATTGGTCAAGATTCACCTTATAACCAGGTGTATTTATAAGAAGAAATGAATTTTGAAAATATCTGAAAGTGTGCAGAATCACATGTCCTTCCACTTTATTTTTTTTTTCCAGACATGATTTTCTTTTCATTTTTAACTTTCTTATGTGTTCTTTATTTCTGCTTAGTTCTTAAAATTTCTTTAGGAATACTTATAATCTCATATTATACTTTTATCACCATATTTTCAGGCAGAGTTTTAAATTTTAATTACTTGTGGTACTCTATTCTTATTTTCTACTAAAGGATAATTTAAGAAAGACGAGAAATGTGATATTTCAGTACATTACTTTCTATTAAATTTTCCAAAGAAGTGTGAAGACTATTAATTATCAGTTCTTTAAAGTGGAAAGAACAGAGACTTTACCATGTTCAAAAACACTTACAAAAGTCATCTTTTGAACTCACAAATGACACTTTCTTTTCCTCTGTCAGTGAACATCAGCATGAGTAGCTCTGGGTCTCGCTGCATGCTCTCCTGTTTCTTCAATTAATACTAAAGCTAACATGGACAGTATACTTACTGTGCTTCAGAGTCATGTTTTACTGCATGTCTTAGTTACCTTTCTCTTGTTGCTGAGACAAATTACCTGACACCCAAAGTTAAAGGAGAAAAGGTTTATTTAGCTTACAGTTTGCAGAGGTTTCAGTCCATAATTGGCTGGCTCCAATGCAGAGTGGCAGAGGGCATAGCAGAGGAGAAACAATTTATGATGTCCATATGGTAGCAAAAACAAGGGTAGGGCTGGGGATTTAGCTCAGCGGTTTCGCTGCCTGCTGTGCAAGCTCAAGGACCCGAGTTCGATCCCCAGTACAAAAAAAAAAAAAGCAACAAGGGTACCTTAAGAGCATCTTTCTGCTCCTTTTATCTTATCCAGACTACAGGATTAGGATGGTGCCAAACCAATCAGTGTACTGGCTTTGTAATCACACACATTTAACCCCAGCATCACACACTCTAGATTCAGCCACCCCTGAAACTGCCCAACCTAAAACTGCATGAGGCTTTGGAGGAACATCTAAACACAAACCATAACACTAGACCACCTCATTTAATCTTGTTCATGTGGTAGTTTTATATAAGTGACAAATTCCAGGTGAGAGAAGATCCAAGTCACAAAAGAAAAATGAAGTCCAAATATTTTGAATAGATTCTCAATTTCATCCATAAGAATACTTGTACATATAACTATCATGGACAGTCAGAATTTGAGGGAGTGGCGGAGGTGGAGTGTTTGCAGTACTGAGCTAGTTGACTGCCTCATTTTACAAATTAGAATTGGATCAGCGAGTTGAAGTGATGTCTGAAGTATATCAGTAGCCATGTCTATTGTGTAATGCTGCACAAACATCCATTTAAAAACCTCATGTATCAAATTGACAACACTCTACTGTATTTTAATTGGACAATCAGTGCTGGTTCCTGTTTATGACTTCTAACCCTGGAACAACCAGGGTGCTTCTTTATTCACATGTACAGTCTTAGCAAAGATGGCTTGGACCACTAGGGGTGCCCAGGCATTTCTTCTACTTGGGCTTTGCATCTCACTTGCTTTGATTGTCAACAGGGAGGATGCTGAAGGTACCATTCTTTTAAAGACAATGTCCTGGAGCTGTCACTTTTGCCACATTTTTTTGGTCAAGGAAAATCAAAACTCCAGTCTAGGTTCAAGGGGCAAGAAATAAAGATTCACTATTTTCATGTATGGAGAAGCATACAAAGGAAGAAATGAATGGTGGACGTATTTCAGTACTATCTATCACTACAGTACAACTGAGAAATCACATTCTTCATCCTAGTGTGGTATTGGTTCTGCCACACCACTGTGCCACTCTACTTGTGTTTCCACAGCATGTACCTCTGAGAACTGAAACAGGAGTTTCTGATCCCTTTGCCACTGCCCAAATCCTGTACCTAATGCTTCAATAGACTCATTATGTATACTTACTGCTTTCTTGTTGATGTTTATTTATTCCTTAGTACTCGTCCCTCTCTTTTCCAGATCATATGTTGTTAAAACTTACTTTGGAGGAAAAGAGAACGAGGATCCTAGAAAATAAAAAAATGCAAGTCAGTTACTACTTGTTGAGTTTGCTATCTTCCAAGACATATGGTAGGTACTTCTACGACAGTTGGTTTTGTGTAACTCTCCTGAAACTAGAGTGATATGTGAACATAGAGTTTCAGGTCACATATCAAATGCTACACACTAGAAGACAGAATGAAGAAAGGAGGCCCCATCAACCTATCTTCAAGGCAATGGTCATTTTATTTTTTTTTAATTTTTATTTTATTGATACATTTTAGGTATACAATATAATGACATTCATCAGTGGAAATTTGCACCTTTACATAATCTCTATTGGTTCTTATTTTTCCCCCGTCCCCTGCCCTCCCTTCAACCCCTAAATCCCTCCCTATTTATAAAGCCTTTGTTTCCATTTTTTCACTTTCTCATATTAATTCCATTCCCTTCTTTAATTTCCCCTACCCCTCTCACTACCCCTTCCCCTTTGCCCTTTTTCTTCCTATTTCAGATTGTCATAACTTTCAGTCTTTATTTACACTTTCAGTTTCTCACACTAGAGAAACTATTCAGTCTTGATACAAGTGTGCCCTGTTTATTTCACTTAAGAATATTGCCTCAATGTGCATCCGTTTAGTTATAAATCTCTCTAATTTCTCATTTCTATGGCCGAGTAGTACTTCATTTTATTAAAAAAAAAACACATTTTCTTTATCCAGCCTCTAGTTGATGGGCATTTGGGCTGTTTTCAAGTTCTAGCTATTACAAATTGTGCTGCTGTGAATACGGGTGCACATATATCACTGTGGTATGATTCTTTTAATTATTTCGGGAAGATACCCAGCAGGGAAATAGCTGGGTCAAATGGGACTTCCAGTCCTAGTTTTTTGAGGTATCTCCATACTAATCTCCACAGTGCTTGCACCAGTCTACACTCCCACCAGAAGTGGAGCAGGGTTCCTCTTTCCCCACAGCCCCACTAGCATTTGTTATTGGTTGATTTCATGATAGCAGCCATTCTTTCTGGAGTGA